CATCGGCAGGCGGACTCTCAACCACTGCGCCACCAGGGAAGCCCAAGGATAATATTTTGAGCTAGTGACCAATGCTGTGTTTCCCTCCTAAAATTTCCCTCCTTTTTAACTCACTTAATTGGAGAAGGTGGTTGGTCAGTACTCATTGCCCAAGGGAGGGATGCAGTTGGGAACCGACTTTTGTTAAGTCTCAAGGGGGAAAGAGGATCCAGATGCAGGCAAAATGGTTTGGCCAGAAACACAGAGGGAAAAGAACGAAGGTGATGAGAGAGGCGCAGTCAGAGGTTCTAGGACAAAGGGGTGTCTGCTCAGGGCTCCCCAGACAGACGAGCAGACACGTGGTAAACCGAGGCAGACAATCAAACCCCAGACCCTGAATCTGGTGCTGGAATTCTCAGAGTCTCAGGGCCAGGCTGATCAGGACAACAGATGTCTGGTAATAGATGACTCGATGACCAACTGACCACCCACAAACACACACACACTGGGGTGTTTTGCCAGGTCCTAGAACTGTGTGGCACAATTTTCCAGGTAGGTGGGAATGTCAGAAAGACAGCCTGGGACTTCCCTGGCGGTCCAGTGCTTAAGACTCCACACTTCCACTGCAGGGGGGCATGGGTTCAATCCCTGGTTGGGGAAGTCTGCATGCTGCGCAGTGCGGCAAAAAAAAAAAAAAAATAGCCTCTTGGGACTGGAGCTATAAAAATTATATATAAAAATAAAATGATTACAAGTGATGGAAAATTAAAATATAAAAATTAAAGTGATGGAAAATACAATTATCTTTCTTATACCCTTGAGCTGTGGACTGAAAGTTACACTGCTATACACATTTCCACCACACTGGTCCCCCTGCTTGCTTCCCAGCATCTGCCTTTTCCCGGATACTTCGGGAATCAAGAGCCCAGTCCAGCCTCCTCCAAGTCCACAAGCCCCGGGACTGAGTCAGAGAATCTGACAAATGCAACAGTCCCGCTCACGTTTTCCACAACCAGAGGGAAATGAGGGCCCCAGAAGAGCTCCATCTGCCATTACCTCTGACCTTTACGTAACAGGAAGTGGCTACTTACTTGACCTTCAGGCTTGCCAGCATGGTCTTGTCGATCCTGCCAAGAGAAAAGCAAGGGCTTCCGTCAGTGCCAGGGCTGAAGGTTCCCACCTAGCACCTGCAGGGGACAGGTCCCGGGGCCAGCCCAGACCACCAGCCCCGCAGGGCCCTGGACAATGTTGCTTCAGGAGGAAGGAAGTTGTCCTCCAGCCCAGAAAGGGAGGACTTGGGAGCTCTGGGAGGGCTGGAGCCACTCATAACCCAGTGAGATGGGTCCTGTTATTCTCCCTATTTTAGAGATGAGGAAACAGGCTCGGGAGGATACAATCACTGGCCCAGTCTGGATCCCAGTATCTGACTCCAGACCCAGGGATCTAAAGCACTTTGTATGCCATCCCTCCTTTCGTTACCCAAGCTCCACAAGAGGACTCTGCAACCCAGCCTCATGGGTCACAGCGGCTGGACAATCAGTGCATGGATATTTCCTGGCATTCTGCTTTAGAAAGATGCCACAACCTCCAGCACCAGGGACCCTCCTGCTCTGGGAGCTGCCAGTTCCTCTAAGGAGGCATAAGCCACTCCTGAGACAGAACCTGACAGCAGGCGCCAGGGTGCACAGGAGGTGGGGTCCGTCGGGCACAGGAGCTCAGAGCCCAGAAGATCACGTTTGCGGCAGACTGTCCTGGCAGCCAGCAACTCCACCCCAGCCTGCGCCTACCCTTGCTGGAAGACAAGGCAGGGCTGCTAGGCTTCTATTTTTACCCTCTGCATATGCCAGCCCTTATGGCTGGTAAAAGAGGCCCCTTCCTCTCTCCAGAGACAGAAAGGTAGGCGAGATTCCCACTCTCTGTCTCCTCTTGTTTAGGGGTCACAAACACAAGGGTCACATCACCATCAGTGTCACCACTGCGCCATGTCATCATTGCCATTAATGCCACCAAAATCACCACCACCTCCAGGAGGCTTGAAACCCTGGAAAGTTCTTATAGCCACCTCTGTCCAGCAGCTCAGCTCTGCCATAAGCTCCCCATACACGCAACTACTGGGGCCCCAGGGAGGAGGGGAGCTGTGTCAGGGGCCACACGGTGAGGACGCAGAGCTGCCCCAGCAATCACGAGTCAGCACCAAGCCCTTGAGCTGGGGGGTGGGATCCTTCCACCCTGAGTAAACTCCCAGCACCTTCTGATCTCAGTTCCCAACAGCAAAATAAGCCACACCCGAGGTTCCTGGCCCAGGTCCCCCCTCCCAGCTTCTTCCCCGCGGGCCCCCTGGGCCCCTTCCTTGGTGCTTCCACGAGGCCCCCAGGGGTCTCACTGGGTTCCTAACCCCCTCTGGTATGGAGATCCTCGTCCTCTCCCATTCAACTCACTGAATGGGAGTAAGGTGGACCCAGGAGCAGATCCCTGCCCTCTGCTATAACATCTGTTACCCAGAGCAACCCAACTGGAACGCCTATCAATAAGCCCTTACATTTTATATTTTCCCAAGGAATCTTTTTTAATTCTTACAACATCGCTTTGTTGTGGGTAAGGCAGAAATTCCCCATTTACACATGGAGAAACTGAGACCTGGAGAGAGGAAGTGTCCCATCTGGGCTCCTCAAAGAGCAGAAGAGGAGCGGCACCTTAACCCAGGGCTCCCAGCATGCCCTCTCACCCTACCACCCGCCACCCACCACCCACCAACTCTCTGGGTCACACCCTGGGCCACAGCAGCCCCGGTCCCAGGACCCACGTCCACACCTACTCACTCAACCGGGCTCCCACGGGGATGTGGCCTCGGAGGGCAGGGTCTATGGCTTGGCAGGGCTGAGATGGAGAGATAGGGCAGCGCTGTGACACTGAGCTTTCCCCTTTCAGGAAACCAAGGTCCCCAGGTTCTTCCGGGTACCATCTCTCTCCTCCCTCCCCTGCCACATCCCATTCACTCTCATCACCTTGTCCACCAGTGCTACTGGACATCCACCCTGGCATCCAACGGAGCTCTGAAAATACCACCCCCAAGACTCTTTTCACTGTCTGGAGTGGACCAGGGCTCCAGGAACCTGTAATTTAGCCCTCAAACAACTGAAAGATCCCTTCCCTGCTGAAAGCCATCCCGCACGATAGCCACCCTAACCCTCCAGCCCCACCAGGAAGCTCTGCCATCCCCTGTCTTACAGCCCCTGTGCTCCCTCCCACTCCCCTTCACCTCCTATGCCCCCCACTACTGGCCACCCAGCTTCCACACCAGGACAGCCCTGGCCACCCTCCCCCGCTCAGCAGTGGGAACCTCTTCTTTGACAATGCTCCAAGCCTAGAAGCTGAAAGGAAACTGATCATGAAAACCACTAGACCCCGTTCCCCAGCTGAGAAGCTGCCGGCAGCTGGTAACCAGAGACAAGTCTTTGACCTCAGTTTCCTCACTTTATGGCCCCATAGGGAGGAAAGAGCCTCTCCTTTGTCCCAGACAGAAACTTAGCAGCAAAAGGTGGCCCAGAGGGTCAGGCAAGAGGCTGGAGCACAGCCCCAGCTGCTCAGACTGGCTGTAGGGGGAGGGCAGGGAGGAGGCCCCTGGCGACAGGCCTCCCCCGCCCTCTCACTGCTCACCCCTGCAGAGAGGAGACAGCCCAAAGGCCGAGGAGGCCACACACTCTCCCGGCCACGAAGTCACAGAGATGACCCAGACAGGAGCATAACACACATGCGCAGACAAGAGCACACACAGGTACAGAAGCTCCGAGGCGCAGACCGGCATCCGCTCAGAAGCGCAGAGTGCACACGTGGTCACGCGTCGGCACACCCACCCAGCCAGGCACACGCCTCACACCCGGCTGCACAGACGTGTGCACCTAAACACACAGTCCCAGATACACACGTGTTCACAGTCATCACAGATGCACATACACATATATGGAAACACATGACACAGAGGCCCACGTTCACCAGTCAGAGTCACACTCACACTGGCTCCAGCTCGGACCTCTGAATTCCCTAGAAGACTGTACCCAAGGGACAGTGAGGAAAAGCCTGGTGCCCCCCCACAGGATCTTCCATCTCCATCCGCCCAGGCATCTGAAAGTCCCCCCCACTGCTCCCTACAGACCAGGTCGCAGCCACAGGCTCAACCGGGCTTCACGGCCAGATTCGCTCCCACCCCTTCACCCGCCCTCCCATCTGTTACCCACCATCCGAAGCCCCCAAAGGAGACGCTGCGCTTCCTGCCAAACATGGCTGTGACAGAGGGGCCCCTGGTCCAGCGATGCCCCCGGGGCTGTTGGCAAGACTGCTGCGGCCTCGGAGCAGCGGGGTCGACAGCCACTGGCAAAGGGCGGGGTGCCCGGCGTGGCACCTCCCCCAACGCCTGCCCCCCAGCCCAGCTTCCTGTGGGTGAGGCTGCGGGGTGGGAGGAGTGTCCTGCCCCCCAGGACGCACCAAGACAGGCAGGGGAGGTCGCAGAGGGCAGCTTCCCCACACCCGGAGGAACCCACAGCTCCGGAAGGGGCTTGGCCGGCAGATTGCACCACAGCCCGGGTTGGCAGCTCTGCCCCACACAGCCCAGGCTGCCCGGAACCCAAGGAGGCCCGAGGATTACCATGATTGTGCCTGGGAGGGGGAGAGAGACCTGGCTGGAAGGCTCAGGGAGCCCTGCCTACGCGGGCCCACACCGACTCCCTGGGGCTGCCGAAGGCGGGACCTTGGCCTTTCTGCCTCTGCCGTACCAGATAAACCTGCCCCACACGCACACGCGTGTGGACACAAGTATACGTGCACCCACGTGGGCCCAGGGGCGCACACACATGCACATATATATGCACAGGACCCAAGGGTACACCTAGGCGCATGCGTGCTCACGTACGTCAGCAGACGCCGGCACACACGTGCACTCAGGTACTGCACACTCACTTGCAGGTCAGCAGACGCCGGCACACACGTGCACCTGCAGGTGCGTGCAGACGTTTACAAAGACACCCACACATCCATCTCATGCACATACAGCTCCCCATACAAACACACGCTCACACACACATCAACATACATGCACACACCTAGGCGCACGCTCAGATCGCACACATGCCTACAAGGCGCCCTCACGTACACAGGCACAGGCACAGGCACAGATCTGTACTGCTCAGATGCCCTTGAGCGTCTAGACAGAGGTCAGCAGTGCTGAGCTCCTGCCGGCAGTGGCAGAGGTGGCAGGTGGCACCGAAGTGCATGTCTGCCTTTCCCACTGGACCCACAGGCTAGTCCTAATCTCTGTCTGCACCAGTGCTGCCATGCCTGGTACACAGTAGGTGCTCACTAATAAGAGCCCCGTCGAAGAGTGCAGCACATACATACAGCAGCCTAGGGTAGAGGGTCACGGGCGGGGTGCCAGGTCCCCGCCCCTACCAAGCAGTGGAGAAGCTTCCACCATTGGCCTTTCCCACTGGCCCACCTTCCCCGGAGCTGGGAGTCAGGTCCGCACTGTGATGCCAGAGAGCCACCCCCAGGCTGTGGACAAAGGGCACAGGCATTTTTATTTTCTTGACTCCTCCACTGCAGGGGACACAAGGGGCCTCAGGCCCTATGGCGGCAGCACAGGGTCCTGACCGAGTTCAGGGCTAGGGGTGGCAAGTGTGGGGTCCCGTGCCCCAGGGCAGCTGGCTGCTCAGCAGGAGCCTGGTGGTCCTTGGTTCAGGTTGCACCCTCCACCCTCACCTTCATCAGAAAAGGAAGGATCAAGTGGTTCACTCCCTAGGGTTGCATAGACTACCGGCTTCCCGCTGGACATCCACTCCACACCCAGATCTGTCACCCCTACTGCACGCACCCCGCACTCAGAAGATGCTCAGCAGGTACCACGGACCCCCTGGGTCCTGCCTGTCCTGCATCCTTTTGGCCTCCCTCTGAGCAAGACAGCTCTGTGCTCCATCTGCTCCCAGGGCGGGACACCTGGCCAGGCCTGGCCAGCCAGGGCTTCACCCTCCTGGCTGCAGTGACTGGTTTGGGAGTGGGCAGGAGACCTAATCGGACCCAGTAGAACTCACTCCCACAATGCTTCCCCTCTCTCCTCCCCAGGGTTGCTAAACCACAGGATGGATCACCAGGGTAAGCCAGAAACGGCCCACAGCCTCAGCCCAGGCGTCACGTGGGTTACTAATAACTAATAACCCACATTCCTTTTGCAAAGTGCTTACTTTTTTTTACCAATTAGAAGGAGTTCCTAGTGAGCCCATCATTGGAGCACATCATCTGACATGCTTCCATGTGGGAGAGAGAGGAGGGGTTGCAGTCACAGTAAGCTTGGGCACTTCCGGCCTTCCGTCTTATCTATTCTTATCTGTACACACATGTGACCATGTGTGCTTGCTGTCCACCAACATATTCTAGGGGAAGACACAGCTGAGAGATGCTCTGATTCAGGCCCTCATAGTCTGCAAAGACACCCAGATTATACCCAGGTAGGAGGCCACCTGGGCCAAATGTTCGCAGACCCAGAGGAGACACAGGCCCGAGCCCAAGCATCTGAAGGTCAGAAGGGCAGCCCAAGGACCAGGCAGGGAGGAGCATTTCAAGACCAGGCTGGATTCTCCCACCTTGCACGGCAGGCACAAAAGACACCGAGTCATGGGATTCAGACACCTGACCAAGGAGCGGCAAGGGCCTGGCTGCAT